AGGCGTCGGTCTCCTAAACCGAAGATTCAAGTTTCGATGTCTTGCAGTTTTGCGATCGGTCAAGTCAACTACGACAGTTTTCTAACGCACAACAGACGTTGTGGAAATTCCGTAAGGGATCACGCTTTTCCTATAAAGCCCTAGCTAGCTTGGGTACAATAAACCAACCTTGGGTTGGTGTTGAGTACAACTCTTCGGATGTGGTCGGGCGAGTTGTCGATCAAGGCGAGTTGCGGTGGCGGTAATCACAGCTAGTAATCCGTGTTCGCATTCTATTGTGTGACCTTTCTATCGCTGAATGGCTTTAATGACACTGAGCGCAATACTGGGTAGGCGGTGAGGGCACAGAGGCCATCGTGGCTTCACTTGTCACTTATGCTTTGGAACTGTCAATAATGATGGCTTCAAGTTGTTATTCTCGTACTTTCTTACCTTTACATAATAATTTCCTGGATTGAACTACATATTTTCATTCAGTTTCCACACAAGCGTTATTTTATATTAATCACTTTACCGATTTCTACTCCTTTTTCTTGGTTTTGAATATGGTAATTGAGCTACTCCTTCTTCAAAAAGCACTCCGGCAGTAGTATTGATAGTCAAAGCTTCGTCGACGTTGTGACGTAACTACTATCCCCTTTCACGGAATGTTTTCTTGTATGTTACGCTGTAAAAAATCATGGCCGGCATCACTGAGGCAGCCACAACATCCTTCGTTCAGTATGTCATAGCCAGGTTCTACCAGTTCACCAGTTCAAGCGAACGGCAAAATCTCGATCGAACTAAACGAGCTGCTCTCTACACCTTTGAAATGGATTTCGTTTTCAGTCGATTTTGATTTTGGGCTTTCTCTATAGTTGACCTGAATTCTTGCTCATTTTGCGTAGATTCCTTCGGGCTTATCACCCTCTGTGCGGTACCAAAGATTTGGTTGATTGTAATTTTCGACTCTTTGCGCTCATGATTTATTAACTCGTTGTTTCTTCTTGACTTACTCCGCCATCCCCCCCCCCCTTTCAGTCATCGTGGTGTCTTTTCTCTATATAGAAATAAAGTGAGAGATAGCTCACTGACGGGAGGTTTGGTTCTGATGAGGAGTGTACATCTTCTGTCCTACAGGCACTTTCTCAGAGGCCATTTGGCCAGAGAAATAAGTGAAGTAGAAAAACACTGAGACATAGTGGTGGCTTAAAACCTACAAAACAATGGGGTGGAGTTGAAAGAAGCTATGGTGCTTTCCCAGGTCAAATTAACTTTGTATCAGTCTGAAACCCATCAATTTTATGATTACACGCATGGGAGCCACTAGTCTATACATCTGCTCACGCATGGGAGCCACTAGTCTATACATCTGCTGGTTTCTTTTATATTTCTACCCAGCTAGTACCCATTTACAGCTCCTTTCCGCAGAAACCAAGACAGAAAGGAAGTTTCTAGCAGTTCTATAGCATAAAAGGTACGCTATTGGATCTTTAAACTTAATAAATCCCATAGTCGGAATGCGCCTTGCATTTGCATTCCATCGGAATAGTAGTGGCGGTTTGAATGCTCGAGTGGTCTACATAATCACATGAGCAACCCATTTACAGCTCCTTTCCGCAGAAACCAAGACGGAAAGGAAGTTTCTAGCAGTTCTATAGCATAAAAAGTACGCTATTGGATCTTTGAGTTTAATAAATCCCATATTCGGAATGCACCTTGCATTTGCCTTCCATCGGAATAGTAGTGGCGGTTTGAATGCTCGAGTGGTCTACATAATCACATGAGCATGATCGCATGAGGTAGCTGACGATGTAAACGTCAGTGTAGCCTCCCAGACGAGTCTGATGCCAATAGGTCGATCCTTAGAAGAGTGGCTGGAAGTCTGGGCTGGCTTAGGCGAGTCGATCCAGGACCCCAACCCTGGACCATGCGTGTGTGCTAGTTAGGGCCGGGTGCCCCTGCACCATCACCGCCCCAGACTGTAAAATATAAAACCATAATAATCATAAATCAGATCTTATTCATTAATAAAGTTTCTGAGTGAACCAAACTAGTGGGACATAGTTGGGCAAGCAGATACTTTGCGATGTTCAACAAACAAAAATGTTTTCGCCTTATTGGGAGAAGAAATACCGGGTGGAGAAAGTCCGCCTCGCATGTTTGTACACTAATCAATCTGTCAAGCCTAGGGGTCTCCGCTTCTCACAACAGTGCACACACCCTTCTCCTTCATTATCTCCCGAACACCTTGACGCTTCTCTTCTGATAACGACTCATGTCCGTCCCATTTCTCCTTCATTACTTCTTAAAACATGGTCCTTCTATTGATTTTGATGTTTGTACCTATAAATCCGAGCCGGTTTGAATTAATAGGTCCTTCGCAAATTCTCGTTTTCATCTACGATCTGATTTAACTCCCTGACTAACAAAAAAAGCTGTCAGGTAGCGATCATTTTTTTAGTTCTTTCAGCGTCTCGTAAGTGCATTTTTAAAACGATTCGTCCTGAATAAATCCTGTTGCACTTCATTTGCAGATTCTCCCACATCTGACGACGTTCCCATGCCTTATCACAACACGTGAACAGCTCAAACACCGACCTTAACCATTAAAGCTCAATGGGATTGTTTTCCTTATTCAAGAAGGTCTGTGGAAATCCTGTTGGAAAAGCCCGTAGGGATTTTGGTCGAATGGATATTGAAAGCTTTCGAAAAAAAACTTGATAGAACCTTAAAAGCGTGTTTCTCACTTTATCATTCACATTCCTCCAGGATGTGTCGGGCAGTCATTGCTGCTGCTATCTTTCGACTTCTTTTCTTGAAGTCAAATCAAATGAGAGAACTAATCCTTTCGTGTTCACCGTTTGCTATGTCATATGAAGCTCATTTCAGAAATCGGCAGCACCAGGTAGGAAAGGGAAAGCATCGAAACATGGTTCGTCATCGACTAAACATGAGAGGTAGGCGTAATGTCATGGTTGTCCAGGCCCTTCTGCTGCTCACTTATTTGTCCGTTCCATCGGCGGCGTGGCGTGAAGGTGTTCCTCAAGTGTGTTGACCATCGCGACGTGCAGCATAAACATCTTCAATTCCTTGAGATCACATTTCGCAGCAGGCATGGAACGCGGAATGGGCGGGGGAGGCCATATAAGAGAAGTCTGGATTCCAGGCCAGAAGGAAAAGCGGCGCGATTTTGTTCCTTGAATGGTATGCGTGCAAACAGTACGCGGCAGTGACAAGCCATCGTTGTCGCTCGTCGACGATTGATTCGACCCCCACCCTCAATCGCACCCCATATAGCAAACATATTCGATTTACCCCCTCGTTGACCGAATGAAGCCAGCCGGCATATCAGCACTTCATGCATGTTCACGTCATAGTCTTACGTTGCTTGCTGGAAACTCACAGATCAAGAAGGGCTCCGTTGTTTGGAAAATCTCCAGGCTCTCCTGTTATTTATTTGTTTTCAACTTTCATTTGAACTGTCTCTTTGAATGCCCGGAGCAAAACCTTATTCCTTAACGCTGCAGCATAGCTGATGAGTACCCTTGAAGTTTTGCGTACATGTCAGCCCATTTTGATGTTTCCTACCGGAACTCACCATGAATCCTACTTCAAGTGAAGCCGGGCATGATTTACGAGTGGTTTTACTCTCGATGTCTTCACAAAACGTCAATTTTTTCACATCCGTAACGTTTTATCGCCGTTTTTTCCGATGGGACCGTGATTGATTTTTGCGATCGTAAAACAATAGAGACTTCGATAACAAGCACAGTCGTTTAATTTCTGATACTCGTATTCAAAGTTGAACCGGTGGGCATTAGTTGGAAGGAGCCACTGGTACAATATTGAGCGCTGGAGCGCAGAGAAGGAAGGCCAAATTGGCTCTTGCTTAGAGACACTTTTTAGCAAGGGATTACAGTTTTCACCTAAGCTTAGGAGGGGAAGAACACCGGGGTGGTGGTGAAATGACTGTCTCGTGCAAAAAGCTGGGATGGGGTAAGAGTTGAACATTTAGTTGACTCACCTACCCCGGTGCTACTTCCCTCCTAAGGCCTAGGTAAGAAAGTATTTTTTGGCTAAAAACATCCCTAAGCAGCAGTATGGGCTCGCAAAGTCGGCTGCCTCTCCATCTCTTCACTTCAGCCCTCGATGTTGGGAAAAAGCGGCTCGTTCCCACCCCCCGCTATTTCCACAACTTCATTTCCGACTTTGATCTAATTTCTAGAAACCATCCGATTGGCGCTGAATCTGTCATTTTTTCCTTACTGGATTCATATTTTGAATTTGACATGACTATGCCTAGGACATTTTTACGTAGCGAGTTCTTTAGTCATACTCAAGTCATTTCCGACCCTTGGGAGACTTAAGTTAAGCGATGATGGTACCAACCAGTATGACGTTTTCAGCTGAGTCTAAAATAGTCTTTTACTTTCTTTCCCACTTTGAATACATTCAACGAGACAATTAGTGTTCGACTGGAATACAGCTCTTAGGCTGTGCAAAACGTATCTGCCGGATATTTCGCATTAGTCCAAATATTTGCTGGCATTTTTCTGTAGGCTTTCCAGTCGGTTTCTGTGTAAGGACACTACCCACCGTAAACGCTCTGAACATATCCCGCCACTTTATCTTTGCTGTTTCAACCATATAACCATACTGTCTAACCTTATTAAATACCTAATTGTAATACTTGCGAGATCGAACTCGACCATTCTGTTACTGTTACTAGAACTCGTTGGAGCTTGCGTGCAACATTAAGCCT